GCGAGATTCTTAATTCGCGCTCGAATTGCGGGAGATTGGACGAGGAATGTAATTGCGAAGCGCAATATACTCAAAATCGATTCGTATCTACCACGAAAATTTATTCCCTTCCGCGAAAATCCATCCCGCGTATCGTCGCGTAAAAGCCCTAAATATCCGGATAATTCAATATCCGAATTGTCGGAAATAATTATTATCGGATCACTCAAATTCGCGTCCCCCTCCTCTCCAGACAGCCGGATTATCGGAATCTAATAAATCCGAAGGATCGGATTTATCCGAATTTCTGCGAAATTAATTTGGATAATTAATAAATCAATTCGCGAGTTATCCGCCAATCGGACAGAAAACCGATTGCGAAGCGTGACGAAATTTTACCAAAAGTAATACGAGATAAAAATGCAAACGAAGCAGGAGGAACTTCCTGCATTATTTTCGCGTGTTTCACGCACTGCGAAATCGAGATATCAGCGGATTCATATTTAGAGTCCTAATCTTTACACGTGGATTTGCATCTCGTGTATGCGTATACATATACATATTTATGTATATATATATTTGTGTGTGTGTGTGTTTGTGTATTGCACGTTTTGCATATCATATGTGCGTGCGTAAATGCACCGATGCGGCACGTCGATGAAAAATATTGCAGTTACATTTTCGGGCGTTTTCCGTTGCTATCATTTTCCGATTCCCGATACCATTTTATCAGCAGTATAAGCCCAAAAAAATAGCCCACGTGCGTGCAACCTCCCGTTTATCTGTTATTTTATTCATTGAAACATTGAAATCGTACGCGACAATTTCCCTGAGTGTAATCACATATGTATCTACTAGTATTTTCTACATCCTGCATACACAGAGAAAATGATTTTGCCGAAGACTTTGCTAAAAATTCAACTACAGGTATAAATCTAGAAATAATTTTGTTGTGCTGTCAAAATAATTACTTAGAAATTTCAAATATGATAAGTAATATCACAAAAAGTTTTGACGTTCTAGCCATCCATTTGAGTTACATAATTACATCAGTTTGAAAAAACGCTTTTTTTTATTACCTTGAACCATCAAGGTGTTTCTTATAGATTTTTTATACTGAAAACGATGTCATAAATTAAATCGCCGGCTCGCGTAAAGTATGTCGCTGCGCTTGGCTTAACGCCGAGACACTACCATATCTCCAGATTTCCAAAATAATTGAGATTTAGTGTGTAAGAAAATGTCTTTTTTGCCGATTTGACATTTTTGTAAAAATAAGGGTTATTTATCTTGAAATTCAGAATTTCAAATTCTGGTCATAAATGTATCGTTCATCCCTTATAAACTTATACATATTAGGAAATGAACAGTACTCTCATGATTTTTAATCAAAATTTTAAGATAACGTTAATCTTTTTTACAAAAAAGTATATAAAATTGTAAAAAGAACATTGTTTATACATTAAACCTTAATTATCTTTGTGGTCTAAAAATTGGTATTTTTAATGTCTAAGAAATGGCTTGTTGGAACTTTTTAACTTGCAGTATCGATTGTAACATTAAAAAATCTACAACACTTAGTTTGATTTAAAGTAACTTTTTACTATAATGTTATTTAATTATTTATATATTCAACAAAATTATTTTCAAATCTGTATCTATAGCTAAATTTTTAGACAATTTTCAGTAAAACTGTCCTTTCCATATAAACACCTCCCGATATTTTCCAAATATATTTCCCCAGAGGCATAGAGGAGTGTACGACTTTCCCGTAAAGTTTCCAAGTTCTCGCAATTTCTACAGTTTCATACTTCTCATCTCGATGCCGTCGACGTGCGCGCGAGCGCTCCTCCCTTTCACTGGGGTAAACGACAGGTAATCTATCGGCAACTTATAAAGAAAGAAGGAACAACAAAGGGGCGGATCCTCCGAAGGAACTTTCAAGTCTCGGAATAGCGATTATCTCAGAAACAGCAGTGGCGTTGGGGCGATCCGTTTAGATAAGCGCGTTTAGTAAATCAGCTGTCGCAGGGAGCCGTTCTTCTCCGAGTAAAGGATCACCGCTTCTCCAAAATGTAAATTTCTATAGGAATAATAATGATCTTTTGCGAAGCGAGGAAGGGATAAAACGTCGATAGCAGGAGGAAAAGGAGGACGACAGACGCGGATAATCTACGCTTTCTAAAAAACAAAAATAGAATAAGGGAAAGGAAAATAAACTCTTCGAGTAAACAAGAGGCGCAAGAAACATGCAGTCAATCTTCACAAAAGGGTAGTTTCTTAACAACAGTTTATTGATTATATTGGACTTTCGATTAAGAAGAAGTGCGGAGTCGAAACTTTTGATAAGCAGGCTCGCAAATACAAATTAACAAATGCCCATTTCTGCCAATGTGGAGTAGCTTGAATCTTGGTTCAACTTACTATTTATCTTTTTCTAGTTTTAAGAATCAGGAAAAGAGAAAGAGTTAAACTTACACAGAAGTTAACATCAAGTTCCACATAGAAATAACCAAAAAGTCCTCTTTCTCTCTGTATCTTCAAAGTGCAGATCAAGCGAGGGGATGAACAGATTCTAGCGAATGGGACACGAGGGACGAAGTCTCGCTTTTGTCGTCGATGGGATTCGCAGCGCGTCGCTGGGGAAAAGTAGCCCGCAGGCCTAAATACGCTCTAATTAATACAAAGAAAACAGAAATGGAGAATGATACTACTAATGAACTCTAATGGACGATGACGAATGGTCATCCGACTGACGGTGGCCGATCGGCGCTTCGGCGCGGCGACTCTAAACTTTGGAGGAAGAATCTCGGCGAGAGGAACCTTCCCCGAGGTGCGTTGCGTCGGAGCTCGATCGGCGACGTGCAATCACCGCGTGCAACCAACCACCCTTAGTTCCTTCGTGAATTCTCGTAACATAAATCTGAAATAATAAATCTTTGCACTTTTATTATTAATGAGAGTTAAAATTCATCTATCTTATTACAATTTTACACTAACATTTGTCATTGATTACCTATTATTGCCAACAAATAATCTCTCGGCAGCGGACATTATATCAGCTATAAAAAAAAAAACAAGAAAAATGTCTGGTTGAAAATGAACGAACCAGAATTCTGATTATATCAATCAGAATTCCATTTGTCACAATTCTAGAATTCTCTCTAGTTCTAAGTTTATTAATTAATATATCTAAATTTTAATTTTAAATAATCTAGAATTTTAGACTTAATCGAGAAATTCTGGTACGTTCATTTTCAATCAGAATTAATTCGACCAGGCATTGTACATTTGCAAAACATAATTCGTCACTTATTCGTTATTGTTGTTGACAATCGGGTCAGCTTCTAGTGATCAAATCGCTGTGAAAAGACATGATGCCATTAACTATCGTCAATGATATTACAAATCCTTTCGAAATCGCCAAAAATCGCCAAAAAATAATTGCGAGACTCTGACAATTGAAAATGCTCGTTCGCTCGCTCGTTGCACGCGCTGGTTGCGATGGGAGAGTTTTTGCGATCGCGGCGTACGACCGATAAACCTAATTTAACATAATTAATTACTTATACATAACATATAAATACATTTAAAATAAAATAAAGACGCACGTATATATACAGAGCGCCCGTTTTGCGGTGGCCGCTGTAAGATAGACACTCCGTATATGTATATCTTGTATACTTCTATATGCGAGATTGGAATATGAACGATCACAACGGCGTTCGGCGACTCGGAATCGAGGGGCGAGAGAGAGGGAGAGAGAGAGAGAAAGAAAGAAAGAGAGAGAGAGAGAGAGAGAGAGAGAGAGAGAGAGAGAGCACGTGAGAAAGAGAGAGCGAAAGAGAGAACGAGAGAGAGAAAGGGTGAAGTTAATACATGTACAGATTTATCGGAGTTTATCTCCATGTCGCGGAACATTGACCGTTCCCGTTTCAAGGTATATATATATGTATGTATATTAAACATCATATGGTGATTATTAATCAGTAGATACGTACGTATTATACGAACTACAAAATCTATCGCTTGTATATATTGAAGATATCGTAATAAAATGATGTACGAACGACCGTGCGAGGTCTTCCTCAACCAAACTCATCCATTCCGACTCTCTTTTATTCACTTATTAATATTAATTATAAGAGCAATCACATGATGTAAAAAGATTAGATGTAACATGATAGCTGAATATAATTTGATAAATTTCTGGTTAGTAGTAAATTTTTACCACAGTGGCTTTATATTGGCTTATAAAACTGCTGATTAATTTCTATTTGATTACAAATACCGTCTTGCGTATCCCTGAAATTGGTTCATCTGGTCTTCTTACATTACGAGAGCATAAATAAAGTATTGAACAAAAGAGCTATAGGAATGAAGACAAACAATGACGTACAAACAGCATTGACGATTTAGAAAATTTTATTACAATATATATAGTTATGAGATATACATACGTACTTATATTTTACAAAGTTCACAGCTGATAAACTAAATTGGCGAAATCGACATGATCGTAGATAGATCGTACATAGATCGTGGTAAATATGCACTGATACGCTATATCACAGTAATGATAAAAAGAAACCGGAATGATAAAGTTTTCACAAACATTCGACAGACTTCACGCGTCATTAATCAATTTGTTATACAGATAATGCCATCGCGAACGCAAGATTGACTTCTCTCAGCAAGTAGTTTTTTCCTTTATTTACATAAATTCTAAGATTATCTCAAATACTTTTACAAAATCAGGTACCTTTACAAAATAACAAAAATCACATTTTCCGAGATCGTCGAAGGAATGTTTTGTACAAATTATTTATCGGAACGCGAGATAGTTCACATGATTGAACGCAATCCGTGTCTATTTATTACTTACACAAAATACTAAATGCAAACTGTAGTTGAAGAAACAAATTCGGCATATTCTATTAGAATATATGATTATAAAATGCTTAGCGAATATTTAGCAACAAACAGATTTGTGCATTTTCATCACGTCACATTGTCCTTGATGTAAATAGATGAATTATGTTCTAAATACGCCAGCTTCGCCCGCCTTAATTATAAATGTTTTTAGCGTATTCTCGTCCAGTTTGGCGAAATTTTCCGTCTGTGTCACAGCCGTCATATGATTTAAGGCAAATTTGAAGCAAACTTCTTCTAGTTCCTAAAAAATTGAAAACGGCATTTAATTATTGGGTAATAATTAGTAATATATACGTATATAGATAAACAAATATTGCAGTCAATGAAATGTCGATAAGTATTAATAATGACAGTACCTCTTCGTTGTACTCGATTGCGATGCTATACAAGTAGGCGACATTGGATACGGTAATTCCTTGCTTTATCATCCAAATGCAATGCTTCTTGAGATTACTCTCGCAGTAAGCGTTGGCCAAATCCAAAAGTTCTGTAATGAAAGACGTTGCTTCAATCCTGAATGTACTCAGGCTGATAACTGCTCAAGATGTATTCGACTTACCTAACGCCTTATCCATGGGTAAGTCAATCACGTCGGTGTACAAGTATTTCAGGAAAGCTTTATAGACAACATAGGAAAACTGATCATGCTCGATGATACTGTCGGGACAGGAAGACAAAATGAGCAAACGTGAGAAATTTTTAACAAAAATAACGCTGATCTTTTCTTAAATGATTACCTTTGGTTATTTTCTGCCCAATCGTGTTGAAACATGGTTCTAAAATACGAAGAGCGAATTTTCAGGATAGCTTTGTGTACGTGGATACATTGACCCTCCACTTGTATCTTGAGATCGCTTGTAGACTATCATAAAACAAGAAAAAAGTCATTAGATTGTGAAATTTCACTTAAAATTTTTAGAATTGTACAGAATAAATAGAAATTTTTTGGCCAAAAGGAACCAGCCGAGCTAATGAAATTTTGATAATTTTCATTTTAGTAGTACATTCATTTCATTGTATATTCAAAAATGTGAGAAGGCGTACACGAAATAAATAGATACAGAACAATGAACAAGTCACATACGGGATCATCAAATGCAGATCCCAAACATTGCAATATGTTCGGCTCTTCGTTCGCATACAGGATCAGTGGTTTATGCATAACGCTTGGCGATCCGTAGCATGCAAGCGCGTCGTGCACGTTCGAGAACGGAGTGGCAGTTGGGATCGTGATGCTCTGACCGCGACAGTGACCCCACATATAGACACGTCCTCCCTCACCAACGGCGACGCTTATGTGATTGTAGTGCAGAGCAGCGATGTCGGACACCCTTCCCATTTCATGCTCCACCTAACAGTATAGCTATTAATGTTGTCCTTTTTGTTTTGATTGTTTTCTATTTTTATTATAATGACGATAAACATAAGTATACCATGACTGGTTTACAGGCATTCGTCTTGTTGCCGATTCCTAACTGGCCGTAACTGTTTCCGCCCCAGACGTAAAGCTTCCCTTCGTCTGTAAGCGCCAGCGTATGAGCGTATCCACAAACCACTTTGACTGAAACAATACCAATTGCTCAGTGATCCTGTTTCGCAATCATTCTCTTTTTCTTTTACTTCTTTATTGAATCGAGAATTACCTATCACAATGCCTCTTAACGAACCGACTTGCCATGGTGACGTCTGATTCGCGTAATTACCTATTCCCAACTGGCCGACACCGTTATTGCCAAAACCGTACACCTCACCATTTTCGATGACTACCATGGTAGAGGTCTGACCGCAGGAGATGCAGACAACTTTCTTCCCACCCAAGACGGAGTTTACTTGCCTAGGTGTGACCTGATTCGTGCTGATACTGCTGCCCAGTTGTCCACAATTATTTTGTCCCCAAGCATACACCTATATTAAACTGACTATTTAGCTTGTAATAACAAAGAATTAGCATCGTAATATCTCGACATTTTACCTCGCCATCCTCAGTTAGAGCAATGGAATGATGACTCCCACAGGCAATGTCAACAACGCGTTTCATGCCTATACCTTCAAGAATAGGCATGGTCACTAAAACAGGTTTTGTGACAACCTGATTTGATGCTCCGATTCCCAGTTCGCCATAACCATTGTGACCCCAGGAATAGACCTATCGAAAGTATTGCAGTCATTGATTTTTATAAAGGTATTGCTTGATTTGTCGAGTTCATGAAATTTTTAACAAGAAAAATTCTTCAGAATTGTTGTATGCATCGATAATAAACAATTAAGAGAAAAAGTTCTGATGTGAATTATATAAATATAAGTATTAATACAAATATAAAATTTAATATATAAGTATTGTTTCATACAAATATAAGTGTTTTATACAAATATAAGTTTAAATATAAGAACTACTGGCTGGTATTTATAGTCAGTTCTTATTTCAATACCATCTTTGAATACTGGTCTACGAATATCAGCTACAGACAACAATCAACTTTGTATTCCAAAATATAAAAGCTCCTAATGTACCTCTCCTTCTTTTGTGAGAGCTAAGACGTGAGGTCCACTGCCATATGCAAACGTTCTTATATCTCTTTCGCACAAGGCTTCCACCTTCTTAGGATATAAAGTACCGTGCGTGTCTCCGATGCCCAAACAACCAGCGATATTGTTACCCAGGGCGTACATCATCTTATCCTTAGTCATGATTAAGGCCTCATTACCCAAGTTACCTGTTTTGAAATACACGGATAAAGAACACTGCCAAAGCAAGTATACGAACGAAAAAGAGAAGAGTGAATTACCGTATACTACAACCATATGAATCTGCGAGACGTACTCTGGCTCCAGTAAACTGAAAATCGGCCAGCTACGTAGGTCCGAGGTGCACATGTTGTCTCAATTAATCAAACTACTTTCTTGTAAATGCTTTGTTTCGTTCCTTTGTATTTGATTATAGACGTTTTAAACGAATTACGATTTCTCATGTCACTGGGAATTCCAGTTATCTTTAGTTACCTCTCTTTCATCGCCGCATTCGCCGCCACCACTGCTATTGGCGGCCCTAGTAGTGAACAATCAATTATTGTACACATACAGCGCTTTTATTACAGTCCTATAAGTTAATAATTGCTGAGTATTATTATCAACAGATAGTATGCGTTATCATCGGCAACTGTTGGTAAAAGCAGTATTCTGTATTACCAACAAGGATGCAATTTTCCAATACGATATACATTCGGGGATTTCCAACTGCAGTGACAGTTTCTCTAAACCGAGATATTTTTATAAACAAATTATTACGTTCTAATTGCTGTAATCGTCGACACATTTTGTAATACAAATAGAATTTGCAGAAAGCCAACTGTGAAAGCATACATCTTTTCAGTAAAATTAATATTTAATTGTTTTAAATATGACCAACAACCCTAATTATTTAAAATAAAAATATAAAACTTATTTAAAATATAATTAAAAAATAAATCAGAAGTTGTTTAAAATAATAGATATTACAAATAACTCTTTTATTTTTTTTATTAATTGGCCCCTGTTAGAATTTTGTCCTAAAAAACTTAAAAATTCGTAGATTGCATGCATTTCCAAAATCAAGACATAAAGCACTTTAAATGTTTCAAGACGTATTTAAGATGTGTCTTATGTTTTGATTTTGATAACCGTGTTGTTTGGATACTATCATACACAAAATTTGGGCCCCTCATTTTACGATATGTAAATAAAAAACGATCGCTGTTAAAAATTGGCGGAGTAGTGAAAGAATCAACCTCTACAGGATGTATATATAATTCGCTGAAACAAAACTATATTGCGCTAAATATAAAAATAGATCCAATCAATAATAATAAAAATCCAATCAATGTGAAAAAAATTTCCCACAGTTGCAGAACATTTTCCTGGATGCGGCTATTCAATCGAAAGTAAAAAGAAAGAAAAATGAAATTAACGGGCTGCTATTTCAATTCTGTATTATGCTAACACTTAATGTGAATAATTAAGATTGAATTGGAATTAATGTGCAATTTTTAATAAAGATCATAATCATAATCATTTACATATAATAAAAATTATTTAACACTTGACCGGTTGCTACATTCACTACAGTTTCCGTTCTTTGGAAAAGAGAAAATTATTGAACACACTTCAAATGTAGGGTATAAAAATTCAATAGTTTTGTAAGGATTTTAATTGTAACATAATAAAAAAAAATTGTAAGAATAAAAATATTTGAAAAATGAGTATATTTTCCTGTCAACGGACGTAGCTACCATGAAATCATCGCACATCCAAAATACAATAGCGGTCAAATCAAGGATTAAATTCAAGTGTGCTACCACACGCTAATGCTATACGCACACGCACTTCTAATTATCCAATGGCCAAGTTCAACAGAATGTTTATTTTGCAACTATTGACAGTTTTTTCGCTGAAATAGGACTATTTCTCTAAATTTAAATAGAATAATCCAATCAGCGCAAAGAATATTTCCAAAACTCGCGAAATAAAATATTCTGAGCATAGCCAATAAGAATTAATGTCCAGATGGACCATCATCTTGCCGCGATGTTTCGAATTGGCAAAATTGAGCAAAATTATATAAAAAAAAGCTACGTATATTGATTTATGTCATACATACGAGAGGTAGATCCCGATTTTAAGATGTTGCGCCATTGAATGAATGAATAAATTATATTCGTATTCTATGTGCATGTTTACATTTTCTAAAGTTTATTTACTGGTAAACAAATGTATTGAAAATTTCAATTATCAGTACAAAATCAACGAAATGTATAAAAAGTATTTCTCAGAAAAAAAAATACAATGTAATATACTTTTACAGTTTTTCTGATCTCATAGGAATATAATTAACGCAAATTTAACTTTAAAACAAAATGTACTAAAAAATATACTAGAAAAGATGTAACTATAGAAATATAATATCTTTTTGGCGTATCCAGAACATCGTACCTACTAACTTAAATATATATTCAACACATTTAAAAACTTACATTTTAAACTTCAATAAGCTGATGGCACAGAATGAGACGTTTTGATGCTTATGACTATTCTTAAAAATGAACCATTGAACGTCTTATTTCTGCTATTAGACTTAAGTGGCTACAATAAGATTTTAAGGCGTAAAATGTAAGTTTTAAGCCTTACGTTGTTAGAAAATGACTTATCGTAATCAATTATATCCTCATATTCAACTGTATTTTGTTTAATTCCTTAAGGTTTAAGACTTAAAAAGCTGAAGTCCTAAGCCTTAAAATCTCGTTATAGATGCCACTTTGCACAGATAACGTCGTCATTGACATGAGTATCGAGATTAATTGTTTCAGCAAATAGTTTCTTTTTGGTTTGAATGAAATATAACGATTATATTATAATATCTGAGAATGACGAAGAACTCTCTCGCGCGAATTTTATTAACATACGCATGATAACGTGCATCACTAGAAGCCATAATTCAGATCTATTTGTTATTCACATGAAAAATCACTAACGAAATGCAATGAAGAAATCAAATTATTAAATCAAAATACGCAATTAATATAAAATACTGTATGGGTGAGTATTCATGCAACGATAGATATTTGTATCTATTCTCGGCAAGATGTATTATTTTTGAAAGAAATAGAGAAATTACATCTTAAAACCACCAGCCTCGCTCGTCTTAATTATTAAAGTTTTCATCATATTCTGATCTAGTTTGGCGAAATTTTCTGTCAGTGCCACAACTGTAAAATGATTAACGGCGAATTTGATGCAGAATTCTTCTAGCTCCTAAAAGATAGTCATTCAATTATTATTGCATGCACGTGATAAATAAATATTGTAATTAATGAAAAGATAATGAGCGTCAACAATGAAAATGTTCGAATACCTCTTCTTTGTATTTGACTGCAATGGTATATAAGTAAGTAACGTTCGATATGGTAATTCCTTGCATTAATATCCGAATACACTTCTTCTTGAGACTATCCTCACAGTAATCGTTAGCCAGGATGAAAAGTTCTGTTCATATTCCTTGCATTAATATCCGAATACACTTCTTCTTGAGACTATCCTCACAGTAATCGTTAGCCAAGATGAAAAGTTCTGTTCATTCACAGGTTTTCGAAAAATATTGCTTTAATCATGAGAGTACTTAAATTGATAACAACTTATGGTATATGGACTCACCAACGGTTTGCTCCCAGGGTAAACCGATCACGTCGGTGTATAGGTAATTCAGGAAGGCTTTGTAGACTTTATAGGAATATTCATCATGCTGAATAACACTGCTCGGACAGAAGAACGTAAATAAAATGAGGAAATTGAAAAAGACTTTAACACTAATCGTTTGTTAACTCATTACGTACCTCTGATTCTTTTCCGACCAAACATGTTGAAACATCATTTTAAAGTAAAAAGAGCGAATCTTCAAAATAGCTTTGTGCACGTGAATAATTTGATTCTCCACTTGTATCTTAAGATCGCTCGTGAGCTGTCAGAAATAAGAAAAAATTTCGTTAAAAGACAAGTACAAAATTAGCTTGACATAAACTATTTTATATGTATATATATAGTCGCATTTTTCAATTAAATTTGAGAATAAAATTGTATTACGTAGTATACACTTATTGAAGTACTTACACTCAGTAGTCTTTTTTCCATGGGTGTAAATAGACTTTTTAAAAATACAATTTTTTTTTAAAACTCAAGCTAGTAACACATACACTATTATATTTAGAATAAATTTTTTTTTAATTTATTCTAAATTTTATTAAAAAATAATAAATCTTCACTACGGTGGAAATAACTGATACATGTACAGGGTAAGATATTTAAAACAGGTCACCTAAATACTCGTTTGTTTTTGATGATTCGAAAGGGGAACGTGTTTTAATTAGAGACCTCTAGTTTTGATCACATTGTTTTCTGTCTAGATAAACGCACCAAAAAAATATAAGTCACTTCCACTTTTTTTAAATAAAATTACGTAACTTTTTTTTTACATATTTCTTTAAAAATTCTGTATATGAAAGATGAAAGTACAGATATTAAAAAACCAATAGTTTACGAAATATTTTATACTTTATTCTGACATATGTTGACATAAAATATTAAATAATACGTAAACCATTAATTTTTTTATAATCGTGCTTTAATACTTTTATGAACGGAATAACAGAACAAATCAATTAGTTAAAAAAAAAAGTTGTTTAAAAAATAATATATAGATGAAATGGATAATTTTTTAAATGAGTAACTGTGTTTTCTTTACACCAATGAATTCGTCTAATTATTCTGTTCATAAAAATATTAAGATACGACTGTCAAAAAATTAATACATTTTTTATTTACATAATATTTAATATTTTATATTCACGTATGTTAGATTAAGGTATATAAAATATCTCGTAAATTATTTATTTTTTATATCTGTACCCCTTCATACTTTTACCATATATGCAGAATTGTTAAAGGATTCATATTACAAAAAATTCATGTAATTCCATTTAAAAAAGTTGACTTTCATATCTTTTTGGTGCTTCTATCTAGACAAAAAACAATGTGACTAAAACACGTTCCCCTCAAAACTGTTCCACTTTTATTTGAAGCATTTTTTCGTATTATGAAAAACAAGCGAGTTATTTAGATGTCTTAGTCTGTATACGTATTAGTATTTCCATTGTGGATAAAAATCATGTATGTATAATTGGTGAAATTATTACTAGTAACTAGATTTATTTATTTCAGCTTTCAGCTGCATATTTTAGTCTCAGCATTGATTTATTTCAGCTGCGTTCAGAAGATGAAATCGGTCAGAGATGTTTTCATTACGTTTGTACATTTTGACAGGAAATGAAAGTAACTCATTATTTGTAACAAAGTTACGGTTACAAGTTACTTCTTTGGTAGCTTTATTAGTAATGATGTTATTTTCTTTTCAGTAACGATAACATTACCAAAAATTACGAATTTTACAGTTACTTTTACCGTTACTTGACATACGATTAAACACGGTTCGATTGGACACAAGCCACTCATAACAATTGAAAAAAAGCATGTTGTGATTGATCATCTATTTTTAAAAAGTGACGAAAAAGTTACTTGTTCAAGTAATGGTAACTGTAACAAATTACTTTTAAAAAGCAACTTTCTATTTTCTGCGTTTTGACTATCAACCAATCATATTATAATTCAAATCGTATTAAAGAATTATTTGTTCGTTGAACAACTTTAACTTCTAAACACAGTCATTTATTTCATTGTACGTTTAAAAATGCAAGAAAATACAAACAAAACAAACAGATATTGCAAAAAGAACAAAACATACGTGATCATCGAATGCAGTTTTCAGGCACTTCAATATGCCTAACTCTTCGTTCCCATTCAAAATTAGCGGTTTGTGCATAATGTTGGACGTTGCATAAGATGCAATTGCGTTATGCACATCCGAGAATGGAGTGACAATTGGAGTCATGACGGTCTGTCCATGACAGTAACCCCATACATATAAACGTCCTTCTTTGCCAATAGCAATGCTTATGTCATGGCAGTACGAAGCAGCAATGTCAAGCACTCTTCCCATTTGGTGCTCGATCTCATGATACAATAATTTTAATTATGGAATTTACTTTATTCTTTTTGTTTTTTTTTTATGATAAACGTAAGTATACTTACCACGACCGGTTCATACCAATTCCTTTGGTTGCCGGTCCCTAACTGGCCGCAACTATTTTCACCCCAGACATAGAGATCTCCTTCGTCCGTGAGCGCCAGTGTGTGCATATATCCGCAAGCTACCTTGACTAACAGTACCGATTGCTTAGTAATTCCATTTAGAAACTAACAATAAGTTTTAACGATCTCTTATTTTATCGCTTTATCGAGAGTTACCTATCACAATATTTTTCAATGAATTGAGTTGGCACGGTGTTGTTCGGTTATTTGTATCGCCTACACCTAGTTGGCCAGAAAAGTTAATACCCCAACCATATACTTCGCCATTTTCAATGACTACAATAGTGAAGGCTCCACCACAGGAGATGTAAACAATTTTCTTTCCAGCCAAGATAGTAAATTTTGTAAATTTACTAATTTCCTCCTCTTCTTCTTCTTCTTCTTCCTCTTCTTCTTCTTCTTCCTCTTGTTCTTCTTCCTCCTCACTCTTTTTTTGTTTATATTTATGTACTCCCCAAAAGTACAACTAAATCAAACTAGCTATTCAATAGTTCGTAGCAATAGAGAATTATTAACACTTTGCTTACCTCGCCAAACTCGGTCAGAGCAATGGAATGGTTAAACCCGCATGCTATGTCGATGATACGCTTCGGAATAGGTATGTTTACTAAAGTAGGTGTGACAACTGTAAGAGCTAAACCTTTTCTCACTTGGCTATAAAAGTTGTAGCCCCAGGAGTATACCTATGAACGATAGGAAAATTAACGAAGTTGACTTTGATATCAAACTTAGAATACTATTCCATGCTTACAAGTATATGGAATAATATCCTGAATTTAAATCAAAACTAAAATGCTAACATGGGGTTTAAGTTAAAGTTCTTAATTTTCCGGAAAAATAAAATGTAGGAAAAAACCTAAATTTATTCCAGTTTTTTTTTTAAAATGCAAAAAAATTAAATGCTTTTTTTAAATGTTCTTAACTTTCTGAAAAAATAAAATTTAAAGAAGGAATCCAGTTTTTTTCCAAACAAACACGGAGAAAATACGAAAATGCTCTCTTATAATGTTCTTGATTTTCAGAACAAATAAAATTGAAAAAAACTTAATTTTTTCTATTTTTTATTAAAAAAATATTCTTTTAATAGATTCTTTTTCGCTTATGTTTGAACTTGATGATAGAATGTCGTTTTAAATTATATTGCAAGAGCGCTGGGCTGACGAGAAAAAATGTCGGACGCTTGAATGCAATGCCGAGACTCAAATCGAGGCCTCATAGTAATTCGTGTTGCCATTGTCTTGCCGCTTCTTTAAATTCTGCATTTACACGCAAAAAAACAAGCCACTTAAATTTTAGCACTAATTTTTAATATTTTCAAACAGCAATAACTGTGAAAAATCATCGTAGCGAGATGCTTAAAAAAGCTTGAAATCTCTACTTTTTAGACTGATACTTCAAAAAACGATCTTGCCGATATTTCATGAAGTTACATAAACATAAATGAAACTGAGTTATTGTTATTTGAAAATATTAAAAATTAGTGCTAAAATTTAAGTGGCCCGTTTTTCTTTATGTATGAGTGTAATTTATAAAAAAAAGCGTAATGAAATTTTAATCATTATCAAATGTTAGTACAAGATTCTAATTTCGTTACTAACCATCTTGTATTAATATCCTATGACGATTAAAATTTTATTAAACTTTTTTTAGCATAAAATTTCCAGCAATTATATAGAATTTCTAGATACCTTGTACATATCCCAAAAGAGAGATGTCACAAGGATACTGATTGACAATTTACTTATAAAGGTATATCTATATAAACTTGCATAGCCGCATGAACATGTACATAAAGAAACTTATCACATTTTACATATAATCTTTATAAGAGAAATTCAATTGAATAATTTTTTTTATGTATACATTTATCTAGTTATGCAAGTTTGTATGATATATCCTAATTTTCTGGCATACCTCTCCCCCTTTTGTAAGCGCCAAAACGTGGTTATAACTACATGCAAACGTCTTTACATCTTTTGTGCACAGAACCTCGATCTTTTTCGGATGTAACGTGGCATCTTTATTCCCAGTCCCCAAACAACCTTTGGTGTTGGCTCCCAAAGCATATACCATCTTATCTCTCGTCACGATTAAGGCATTTTTACCATTTTCACCTGTTTTAAGAAGTAAAGTGTGTAATACGTTGTCTCCAATGGCAGTAATGGATGAGGCTTTAAGAGTATCTAGAGACATGGTAGTGTCTCGGCGCTAAGCCAGGCGCAACGACACTGCCGTGACTATAAAATACAATCACAATCAAATGTGAGAAGAATAATCAACTGTGACTATTGTCAATTTCTTGTTTTTATAGCCTCACTATTTTACTGCTACTGCCTATTGTAGACGATGCATAACACTGTCAAAGTTAGTATGCTATACTGATTCCACAATGAGTCGATAGTCGGTACTCCTAAATTTTATCGGTAAATTGGTGAAGTTGGCCAACAGCTAACTTATACGACTAATACCTAATTCCACTCCAATGTAAAATTAACTTTAATCTTAGTTCAATTTATTCTTCACCTTTTTAAAATTTTTAGGATTAGAAAAAAATGAACAAGCTCTCGCTCTCGCTCTCGCTCTCTCTCTCTCTCTCTCTACACTAAAATTAAAGTTGATCTACATTGATGGAAACGGGCGTAAGACCACAGATTTTTTTAAGACTGGTGAAATTCGCGCGACTTTATTCTTTCCCTTAATCGAGCTAAACGACTCGCTGTATATATTAGTCACTTATTTAAGTTAAGATTGGTTAAAACTTAAAATTTTCGACTATCATCTCACTGTAGAATAAACTTTGTATGCTTTCCTTTTAGAGGATCTCTTTATCATTCGTTGAATGTTAAGAAGGATAACGACGTTTGTGTCGAGTGTGTCATCTAAAAGGAAAGCATACTTTATATAAAAGTGAAGAGTTCTTTACCGTATACCATAACCATGTGAATTCGCGACACAAATTCTGACTCCAGTGTACTGACAATGTGCCAGTTACGTAGATCCGAGGTGCACATTTCGTATTTTGAGATCGTTTTTTCGCAAATACTTCGTTTCTTGTTATTTCTTGAAGTATTCAAGTAGTTTATGCTACGCAGTTATCTTTCAAATCGCCAGACATTCGCCGCTAACCGACAACACAATGGTGGTCAAATCAGAATAGGAGTGGGGAGAGTGGGTAATGATAATTCTACAATGTGCTCTTTGTTTCCTGTTTCTTGCTGTTTGTCTCTTGCGCACTCCTGCCGTCCTGCCTTTTTGACCAAAAGACAAGAGACAAACAGCAAAAAAACAGGAAACAAAAAGCATATTGTAGAATTAGGGCTGCGCAGAATAAAAGAAACAGAGAATAAGAATTTCAACCTATCAGAAATCATGTATTATGGAATACACAGTTTATTCGACAGTACATGATTTCTGATAGGTTGAAATTCTTATTCTGTTCCTTTTATTTTGCGTAGCTCTTACCATAAAGCTCACTGCTCAAGTCAACTCAAGTTACAAGCAGTTACAAGTGTACTGTCACAGTGATAATACGCATAATGTATCGTTTATCCTTGTTGCTTACCAAATGTTAAACAAGGACAATTGATGCATTAGTCCGGATCTACAATAGATTTTTAATCTCTATAAGCCATAAGAAATGAATGATCACAGTCAATTTTTCTCCTCGCATTCGACTGTCCCCGGATCTACATGTTAAGCCTTATAAGCCGTAAGAAATCAACCATGGTTGAATTCGAGAAGAATAATTGACTACGGCTGTGTTTCACTTAACGCTCGCAATACTGATTGTTTTTCCTTATTTAACATTTGATAAATAATAAGGATAAATGATTGCGCGAGCAGTTGTGGGTGTTAAGTGAACGCATTGCACTCTATGATTCGTACATTTCTTATGGCTTAAGGCTTAAAACTCTATTGGAGATCTAAAGGCATAAAACTCTAGATTACCAATTGATTTCTTTTTTTTAGGAGACGTAAATTGTAAATCGTTCAATCGACAAAAAATATTCGAACCTCATGTACTGCGATTCTCGTGAGAAGAGATGAAAGTTGACTAAATTTGCACAATCACATTTATAAATAGAAAGCGACGTGTGGATTTATATCAGAAGCGTCGACTGTGAGAATATTCTTAGAATGTTGAACGTTTACTGACTCATTTTTAGGTTTAAGAAAAATTGATTGTGTGAAATTTTGGATCCTTCGATTCTCTCTCTCTCTCTCTCTCTTTATTTTCTGTTTTCCAGGACCATTAGAAAAATACACTATAAGTTTACTTTTATGAAAAGATATACAAATGAAAGATATACTTGATACAATAAGATACTATCATATCTCCTGTTATGAACAATATTTATTGCTTACATAATTAAAGAAATCGTTAAGTATATGTATAATGATGTATCATATAAAATGACGAACTGTATCATACAAATTTAAATAAATGTTTATTTATATAATAGTGTCAACTAAACATTTAAATATAAAGATGTATTTATTTCGTGCAAAAAATATTAATTTGATTCAATTTCTCTTTATTAAATAAATACTTATTTACTGTAAGTAAATATTTAATTTTTTTTGGTGGCATACAAATAAATATTTATTTAAATTGAGGATATTTGTTTCTCAGTGTAGACTCATCAATCAAACTCTTCTGACACAGCATTGATAGAACAAATTGTTAGAAAATATTTTATTATAATAGATTCGTATTTTACACAAAGTTTTATATACAAAGTTTACATGTGGTAAATATAACTGTTAAAAAAAATACGAAATATCTTGAAGCGTTTTTATATTTTATCTCTTAAGGATATGTAATATATAATTAATCTAAAGAATCCTGCACAAATCAATAGACAAAGTAAAAGCTTTGATTATATTAATAAACTATATTTTTTTTGCAGAGGATGAGACATTCCCATAAGTTTTCTTATGCAAAACCATGTAATATTTTGATAGATTTTAAAATTAAAATAGTTATTAAAAAAAATGAAGAGTTTAATAAATACTTTTCAGCTCAGAAAATTAAATTCAAAATAGTGACTTTCAAATGATGCTATAGAAAAACATGTTCATTTTTTATGGTTCCGTCTATTTTGAAATTTTTTGATCGTTTAATGATTTTAAGATTATCTTAGGTATCTTTGTATAATGACAAAGTCATAATCCCTGAAATTAACTTAGGAATTTCTCATGTAAATTTATAAGAATAGGTGAGATAGTTCATATGACTAGGTACAGTCGTATTCATTCATAACATATATAAAATAGAGTAAAATGTTTAAAAAATAAACTAAATTAAGATATTTTATCACATTGTACAATTGTAAAAGAGTACGGTTAAAATATTTCCTCAATTTTGGCAATAAAATTAAAGATTAATATAGGTACTAAATGAAAGATGTTGAGCTGAATACAAATATATATTTTATTTTGCATCGATTTTTTATTTCATTTTCTAGATCTTTTATTTGGTATTTATTTTAACCTTTAATTTCACTGTCAGAATTGGGAGAACATTTGGCTACACTTTTTAAGACAACAAAAGAAATGATATTCCTGTAACAAACATATTTAGCAATTTTCATTCATTCTCGTCAATAAATAAACATGTATTATTCTTGAAACATAGGCGAATTACGTTCTAAAACCCCCAGCTATGGCTGCCTTAATTATAAAAGTTTTTAAGACAGTCTCATCCAATTTGTCAAAATATTCTGTTTGTACCACAGTCGTTAAGTGATTCATAGCGAATTTAAAGCAGAATTCCTCTAAGTCCTGAAAAATAGCATTTATTATAAGCATGTGTAGATAAAGATATATCGATCATTACTAAAATATTAACAAGTGTCAATTGTGACAGTGTTTGACTACCTCTTCTTTGTCTTTAATTGCAATGCTGTACAAGTAGACGACATTCAACACGGTAATTTTTTGCTTTATCATCCGAATACAATGCATCTTGAGATTATTATCACAGTAAGTGTTAGCCAGGGTCAAAAGATCTACAGCAAAAAAACGTTAATTTAATCGTGAAACTACTTAGAATAATCATAGTTTATGGTATATTTGACTCACCTAACATCTTCTCCCAAGGTAAATCGACCATGTCAGTGTATAAATACTTCAGAAAGGCTCCGTAAACAACGTAGGAAAATTGATCAAGCTTGATAGTACTGTTGGAAAGGAAGAACATTAACAAAATGAAAAAATTTAAAAAGTTTTTAACATAAATAACACTGATTCTGTGTTAAATAATTACTCTTTATTGGCCCATTCTTGCTGAAACATGGTTCTAAAGTACGAACAGCGGATCGACAAGACTGCTTTGTGCACATAGATATATTGGTCCTCCACTTGTATTTTAAAATCGCTCGTTGACTATTAGAAATAAAACAAAAAAAAAGGACTTAAGTTACTAACACAGTATATTTAAATAGAATTTAATAAAAATAATGCATCCTCTAACCACTACCATGAATATTAATACATATATACATATGTAAATATGACAAAATTATGTATAATTAGAGATAGTAAAATTAGATCAGTTTGTTCAATTCGCACTTTTTCTCGTCTCAATATCGTACATATTAGCTGAGAAAAAACCGCTTAGTGAGCGTACAATGATTCTTCATTACGCTCATTACGCTTCATTACGATTAGTATGCACATTTTGCTAAAACAAAAATATTTAAAAAACTGATTGCTCACTGACCGATCTTTGTCTTATGAATGCAGTCACTTATTTCATTGTACATATCGAAAATACGAGGAAGTGCACGCGAAACAAATAGATACAGTACAAAAAAACCAAGACATACGGAATCATCAAAAGCATTTCTAAGGTACTTCAATATACCCAGCTCTTCATTCGAGTCTAAGATCAACGGTTTGTGCATAACGCTTGGCGAAGTGTAGCATGCAAGCGCGTCGTGCACATCCGAGAATAAAGTGGCGATTGGGTTCATGACGCTTAGACCATAACAATTACCCCAAACATAGACACATCCTTTCTGATTAACGGCAATGCTTATATCTTTGCAGTACACAGCAGCAATATCGGACACTCTTCCCATTTCGTGCTCGACCTGATTATACCATATAATAACTAATTGCTCATAAATCTTTTACATTTTTTTTCTTTCTTTGTTTCTTTTATGATGGTAAACGTAAATATACCTTAACTGGTTTGCAATCCGTCCGTTTGCCGATCCCTAACTGACCGTAATTATTACCACCCCAAGCATAGAGATCTCCTTCATCAGTGAGCGCTAGTGTGTGCTCGAATCCACAAGCTACTTTAGCTGAAAGAACACCAATTCTCAGTAATTTCATTTCGCTTTATCATTCTTTTTTTCTTTTATCATTTTATCGAATCAAGAATTACCTATTACAACATTTCTGAGTGAAATGACTTGCCATGGTGTCGTTTGGTCGACACTGTTGTTTATCCCCAGCTGACTAACATCATTATTGCCCCAACTATACACTTCACCATTATCAGTAACTGCCATGGTAAAGGTCATACCACAGGAAATGTGAACAATCTTCTTTGTAGATAAGATGGATTTAACTTGCATAGGTGTACTCACTATATCCTCACCATTGGAAATACTTCTATTCTGTTTCTTTATTTTATATTTAGTTATTCCCCAAGTATATACCTAGATCAAACTGGCTATTTAGCTACATAAAAACCCAAGATTTATCAATTTACACTTTGCTCACCTTGCCAGACTCAGTCAAAGCTACGGAATGGTGACTCCCACATGCAATATCCACAACATGCATTGTGTCCATATCATCTTCCAGAGTAGGCATGTTTATTAAAGTTGGCGTGTCAACCAGATCATACGATCCTGTCCCTAATTCGCCCCATTCATTGCCACCCCAGGAATATATCTGTAAACGACACAAAAGTTAACTGAAATTTAAAAAATTAACTGAGTCAACTAAAACATGAACTTGAAATCCTTCTTTATATTTCTAATTTTATATTTAAAGCAATACTTCTATATGATCAATCCACTTTTCATAATATTCCATCAGATCTATACAATTGACCTCACATATTTCTATATTTTTATATACTTTTCAATAATATTGCTGTCATTGATTCTAACATGTTTCATAAATTTTTAGCAATTTTATAGAATTTCTGGCAATTCTATAGAATTGCTGGCTGCAGTAATAAAGAAGGATAAAAAAGAGAAATTCAAATGTATTTTTGTACAAATATAAATACATTAAGTATATATATTTTACCTTTCAGCTACTTCATAAAAATAAAACTTAATACTTAATAAATTCACATTTAATAAAAATTATGTATATCCCAAAGAGATGGATTAAAAGTTGTATATATTGGGTATTACATTTTAATTTTGACACCGAAATATCTTGAAAATTACAAACAATGTAGAAAAATGTTTCAGACAAAAATTGTAGAAAACAAAAAGGTCTATCATATCTATTGACATATCATATCTATGATCATATCTATTTGACATTGACAAAATTTTACACAATTGTTAAAGGTGACAGGATTGCTAAGTAGATACAATAAATTTCAATAACTTCAAAATGGCTGACCCAAAATAAATCAATGTTTTGAAAAGATCTCAGAAAGGGCTATAACAATATGCAATAAAATCTAAGGGTTTATTTAAAAAAAAAAAAAAATTAATTGTGGCAATGCTATCTAATGTCAAATAGATATATGAACAGTAAATAGACCTTTTTAAATCCTACAACTTTGGAAACATTTTTTTATGTCTCATAATTTCTTTTATAATTATGCCAGCTGCACATAATGTTTGTTTTCCTGCTGGATTGCTAGCTAGATTAGAATCTTGCCATGGTATTGGCTGTGGTGCCGACAGTGCCAATATCGCAGTAAATTCAATGGCAAGAATCTGATCCAGCTAGTAATCCAGTAGGAAAACAAACATTGTGTGCCGCTGGCTTTAATTAAGGTCATGAGTAGTTCTGCTCGGTGCGATTGACTCACGATCTGTAGATCCAAATTCAATTCCACTTGTGCCCATATGCGATTTTTCGCTCCATCTGGTGATTAAGAGATCTATAATCACCAACGTCGTTCAAATCCGGTGTTAAACTGTAGGTCCTCTATATGAAAGTATACCGAAGAAGGCAATGGGAAACTATTTCAGTTTATTTAATTCCCAGGATATCACTATGGCGAGGAAATCATGGCCAAAGTGATCGCTAATGTGCAAGGGACTGGATAAGGTACATGAAGAAGATAATTTCAAGATACTTTGGTGTTAAAGTAGAACATACACA